CTCGAATCGCGCAACTCGAGGGGTTAAAAAATACGTTGCGCACACGTTTCTTTCACGCGGATGCAGGACACAGTACGAGAGATGCAGGACTCGTTTGGCGCGAGGTCGATACCGCGTTCGATAACCGCATATTAACCGGAATTGTCATCAACGCGAACCACATCGAACCTCGTCAATTTCTCGAGGATGCAAAGAATATGGTGCTCGAGCACATACGGGATGCAATGGAGAGACACGTAAACGTGAAAGTGAACACTGTGTTTAACGGTGAGTTCGTCGCGGGTGAAAAACGTGCGGTAAAGAGCATCGCTACGAAAAATTGTGAACTCTTTTCCACATCCAACATAGAAGATTGGTACGAGCGACGCATCGTCGAGCCCACATTAGCATCGTTGGAGGAATTCCAAGAACGCGATAGCGGGTGGGCATTATCGCGAATACTCAATCTTACAATCAATGTGAACAAATACAATCCGTTGCACGCGGGATGTCATTTTGAGTTACCGCGTGTGATACAACTGAAGCGGGCTGTGATCAATGTCAAATCTCCGGACAATGCATGTTTCGCGTGGGCAATAGTTGCGGCTCTGTATCCAGCCGAAAGATATGCAGATCGTGCATCATTGTATCCCCATTACACGAACGTGCTCAATCTTCAAGGCATTGAGTTCCCCATGAAAATTAATCAAATTACAAGATTTGAACTATTAAATGATATATCCATCAATGTATACGGCATCATGGAAGAAAAGAACGAAGCTATTGTTCCAATACGTCTCAGCGACAAAAAGAGGGAAAAGCATGTCAATTTGCTGCACATTTCGGATCCTCGAAACCACAACACGGGACACTTCGCTTGGATCAAGGATTTATCCAGGCTCGTGAGCTCGCAGTTGAGCAAGAAAGCTCATAAGAAATACATTTGCGATCGGTAAGTACATTTAATTGTATCAGAAGTATGCAATAAGGCGATAAAAATTGCAATGTTTGTAGGTGTCTGCACTACTTCCATTCCAACAAGAGGCTGGAGAGTCACGCGGTAGACTGTCAAAAAATTAACAACTGTGCCATCATTCTACCCAACGAAGACAATAAATGGCTGAATTTTAGCAATCACAACAGGAAGGAGCGAGTTCCCTTTGTGATATACACCGACCTAGAGTGCACACTGGAGAAGACGGCAAGAGATGGAGAGGATCGCAAATTGTACACATACCAACATCACAGGGTATTTAGTATAGCATTTTATATACGTTGCTCGTACGACGATTCATTATCTGAATTTCAAAGTCGTCGTGATAGTGACTGCATCTCATGGTTCGTCGGGCAACTCGAAGAAATAGCACACCGCGTAAAAGTAATATTATCATCCAATGTCCCCATGGAAACTTTGTCGAAAGAACAGTGGGCTACATTTCATAACGCGACGCAATGTCACGTGTGTGAGAAACCATTCACAGCAGACGATACGCGCGTACGCGATCATTGTCACTTCACCGGCCGCTACCGAGGTCCAGCACATTCAAATTGCAATTTAAATTACAAAAATTCATATTACATTCCAATCGTTTTCCATAATTTATCCGGCTACGATTCACATTTTATCATCAAGGAAATAGCAAATGCATTTGAAGGTTCAATCGATGTGCTACCGATAACAAAAGAAAAATACATTTCGTTTACAAAGAATGTTCAAGATACGGCAGATAAATACAAAAATATTGTAAAATTGCGTTTCATCGATTCGTGCAAATTTCTCAGCAGTAGTCTCGACAAATTGGCATCCTTTCTCACTAAAGACAAGTTGAAAATTGTACGGTCGGAATTTCCAAAATTATCCGTCGAAGAATTTAATTTATTGACGCGAAAGGGTGTCTTTCCATACGAATACGTGGATTGCGTGAACAAGCTGCAGGACACATGTTTACCGCCGCGAGAATCGTTTTACAGTTCGTTGACGGGTGATACAGTATCCGAGAGCGATTACGCGCACGCCGCGGAGATCTGGAAGCGGTTCTCCACTCGAACCTTGGGCGAATACAGCGACTTGTATTTAAAGACTGATGTCTTGTTATTGGCAGATATTTTTGAAAATTTCCGCGACAGCTGCATTACAAGTTATGAACTCGATCCCGCGCATTATTATACTCTGCCTGGATTTACGTGGGATGCAATGTTGAAACATACCGGCATAAATTTCGAACTGCTCACCTATATTGATATGATCATGTTCATCGAACGCGGTATACGCAGTGGTCTGAGTCAATGTTCGGATAGATACGCACACGCCAATAACAAGTA